CATGAAGGTCACTGAGGTACAGGGAAGCTGGAAGTCCCAGAGTCCCGAGATCTGGTCCTGATCATCAGTCAGCACGGAGAAGATGGGCAAGCTACCCGATGATCCGTGGCCCGACTCAAAATGTTCACCTCTAGAGTCACCTCAAATCTGAGATCAGGAAACTCTCTCTAAGCTTTAGGGTTGCTAAGAGGCTGTATTGCTCTAAGACTTCACTCAGCTCCACCTAAGATTGTTCCCTTCAATCTAGAAATGTTCACAGAGGCCAGCAGCTGGGATCCATGGCCAAAACAGTGTGGCTTCTGGCTGAGAGCTCCAAGGAGACATGCTGAAGTCTTTTTTTTCACTAGGACACTTTTTGTTTCGTGTTTACTTTGCTCTGTTTTATTATCTATTTATTTGAGCTGACGTGTGCGTGCGTGCATGTGTGTGTGTGTGCGCATGCGTGCATGTGTGCACCTGTGCGTGTGTGCACCCGTGTGTCAAAGAATGACTCGGAAGCTGGGTCTCTCCTTGCACTTCTTTAGGCAAGATCTCTTTTTTTCTACTGTGCTGTGTACTTCAGGCTAGCTAGCAAACGTCCAAGTAATTCTCCTGTTCGTCTCCCACCTCATTGTGGTGTGGGGAAAAGACTCTGGTTACAAGGCAAGTGCTTTGAGCCACTGTGTCTTTCGGCCAGCCCCTTGTTTGTGTTTTTGAGACATGGTCCCACTATGTAACCTAGGATAGCTCCACATTGCCACCCCGTGCCTCGGCCTCCTGAGTATTAGAATTACAGGTGTAGGTCAGCGTACTGACTCCACTAGCCCTGGTTAGAAGCAGCAGTCTCTGAGCGTCTCAGGTGCTCCTGAAAGGGCGCTAAGAAGCAACTGAAGGGCATCACAGTGTCTCCTTGTCGCCAGAAGTCTCCACAAGTGGTTTTCACCCAAGCTACATACTCAAGGCTTTCTGGGGGCACTTGTAAAATGGCTCAGAGGTTAAGAGCACTAACCACTCTTCCAGAGGTCCTGAGTTCAAGTCCCAGCAATCTCTTGGTGGCTCACAAACCATCTGTAATGAGATGTAATGGTGCCCTCTTCTGGCCTGAAAGGCATACATGCAGACAACAATGTATAATAGGTGTATGTATCCTAGGATAGGATAGGATAGGATGGGATAGGATAGGATAGGATAGGATAAGGTAGATAGATAGATAGATAGATAGATAGATAGATAGATAGATAGATGATAGATAGATAGATAGATAGATAGATAGATAGATAGATAGATAGATAGACAGATAGAAAGAATCTTTTCTCAGGCATCAGTAAACCCCTGGGAATCTCACTGGTAATTCTCCAGCTCCCAGGGAGAACAGTGAACTTCCTGCATGAGTGTGCTTGCCCAGCGTGCAGAGGATTGTGGGCTCCATCCCCACTCCATCCCTGGAAGCTCCCAGGTGATGCCCCACTTTCATCAGATGTGTCACTACACCTGAAGTGAATTGTTTTCCGGGCTACAGCTGCTGACACAAGGCCCCACCTTCTGCATAGAGATGGGAAGCCTTCCACCCCCATCCTCCCCACCCCCACCCCCTGCAGCCTTTAGAGCCCTTGAGAGAAACACTCAGAAAACTTCCAAACACTCATTAGTAATGTTTGGGTGTAAGAGTGGACAGCCCAGGCTGGAGAGATGGCTCAGCAGTTAAGAGCACCGACTGCTCTTCCAGAGGACCCTGGTTCAATTCCCAGCATCCACATAGCTGTTCACAACTGTGCTAAACTGTGTTAACAGTTTAACTTTGTTAACTCCAAGATCTGACACCCCCACACAGGCAGATATGTAAGCAAAACACCAATGCACATAAAATAAGTAAATTATTAAAAAAAAAATGGTGACAGCCCCTTCAGAGAGTTCAGCCCTCTCCTGTTCCTGCCTCAGTTGCCCATTTCTTTCTTCTGCCTCACTTGTCCCTCCCCCACCTTGTCCTGGTTTTCCCTTGACATTTGTTTTTGAGGTGGTGGGTAAGTCCATCTCGCAGGGTCCAGATTCTTGTCAAAAGGCTATGATACTTATAAAATGTCATTCTTTAGTGTAAATATGACTGCTTTGGCCTTGCAGGTTTCTATATATGCCAGCAAGATGGCTCAGTCAGTAAGGCACTTGCCACCCAGCCTGAGGGCAAGAGTTTGATCCCCAGGATCCACATGGTAGGAAGAAAGAACAGATTCCTGAAAGCTGCCTTTTGACTTGCACACATGTGACATGGCACACATAAGTTGCACACGTGCACACGCATAAATTAATATAAGTTGAAATAGTAAAAATTTTAGCAGTTCTCCAGAGGTGAAACAATGAGTTAAGGATATGGTTTGCCCATTCCATTCCCAAATATTTGCCCAAGAAATTTAAATACATATCTAGACATAGAATCCAAGGTACACAGTAGCATTATTTATAATAGTCCAAAGCAGAAATGGTACAAATGTCCACCAACAAGAGGAATAAACAAGATGTGTTATATCCATACAAACTAAATACTACACATGCATAAATAAGAATGATGTATGCTTCAACACGGAAAATTCTTATAAACATCATGCCTGGTGAATCAGTCACAATGGGCTGTGGTTACTAATTGAGAAGTTTCTTTCTTTTAGAAAAGCGGTTCTCAACCTTCCTGATGCTGTGACCCTTTAATACAGTTCCTCATGCTGTGGTGACCCCCAACCATAAATGTGTCATGTTGTTACTTCATAACTGTAATCTTGTTACTGTTATGAATCGTGGTGTAAATATCTTATAGGCAGGATATCTGATATGTGGTTGTGACCCGCAGACTGAGAATCACTATGTTAGAGTGAAATTTTTCTAGGTCAAGCTTGAGGAATAAGGATCACAAGATCAAAGCTAGCCTAGATGCACCGTAAAGTCCTGTCTCCAAAAACATTATTTAAGCTGGGGTGGTGCTGGCACACGCATTTAGACCCAGCACTTGGAAGGCAGAGGCAGGTAGATCTCTATGAGTTTGAGGCTATCCTGGTCTACAGAGCTAGTTCCAGGACAGCCAGGACTACACAGAGAAACCCTGTCTTGAAAAACCAAAATAAACAAATAAACAAACAAATAAAATAATAATATACTAGATATAAATTATTTTTCTCACTGCTTTGACAGAATACAAGATCCAGTATAAGAGGAGGAAAAACTATCTTGACTCACAGTTCAAGGCTATAGTCCATTATGATGGGAAAGTCATCATGATGAGGCAGCTGGTGACCCTGCATCCGGCTAGAAGGCAGAAAATGATGGATGCTCATGCTTAATTCAGTTTCTCACATTCGGTCAAAGACCTCAACCCGTCGAATGGTGCCACGCATATTTCTGTGGAATGGTGCCACGCGCATTTAGGTGAATCTTCCCTCTTCAATTAACTTACTCTAGATTATCCTCACAGGCATGCCCAGAAGCTTGTCTCCTTGGTGACTCTAGATCTTGTCAAGTTGACAATCAAGATAAAACATTCCAGATGTCGTGACCTTTTTTTTTTTACACTTCAATGATGCTAAATCTGCTCAAAGAAAATATGTACTTTGACAGCAGAAAACTAAATTCTGAAATAATCATATTAGAAGGTGTCTTAGTTAGAAACGCTAACCCCAAGACACCTTCTAATGTGATTATTGTGAAAAGACACCATGGCTGTGGCAACTCTTTTTGTTGTTGTTGTTGTTTGGTTGTCTTTTCGTTGTTGTTGTTTTGTTTATTGAGACAGGGTTTCCTGGCTGTCCTGAAACTCACTTTGTAGACCAGGCTGACCTCAGAATCACAGAGACCTGCCCACCTATGTCTTCTGAGTGCTAGGATTAAAGGCGTGCACCACCTTGCCTGACCCACAACAACTCTTGTAAGCGAAAACATTTAACCAGGACTGGCTTACAGTTTCGAGGTTTAGTCCATTATTGCCATGGTGGGAAGCATGACAGCGTGCAGGCAGATGTGGTGCTGGAAAAGGAGCTGAGAGCCCTACACTGAATCCGCAGGCAGGAGGAAGTGACTGAGATACTAGGCCTAGTCTGAGCATCTAAGACCTCAAAGTCCACCCTCACGGTGACACACTCCTCCAACAAGGCCACACCTCCTAATAGTGTCCAAGCATTCAAACACACGAGTCTATGGGAGCCATTCCTATTCAAACCACCACAGAAGGCTCATGGGAAGAACCAGGCAGTCCCCACAATAGTGTGTTGGCTGGAATATTTACAGTCATTACAGTTAGCATGAAACAGAGGAACGTGAGTCACCATTGCCACAGGTACTTTCCTTTCTTCGGAGTATGCAGTAGCTTTTGTAGGTACTGCCTGGATGCATTCTGCACCATCTCAAATGTTTTCCCTCCTCCCAGTTAATTTAAATGAGTTATCTGAACTGATCTCAATAATTCTCCCCACTTCCAGGGGCCTGAGGAACTTTTAGTACTTCTTATGGAGGAAATGAAGGGTTTGTGGTTTGGTTTTTTGGTTGACAGTTTTTTGGTTGGTTGGTTAGTTGATTAGTTGGTTGGGTTTGTTGGCTGGCTGGTTGGTTGGTTGGTTGTGGTTTTGTTTTTGTTTTTGAGACGGGTCTCATGTGTCCCAGGCTGGCCTCAAACTCACTAAGTAGCCAAGGACTTTGAACTTCTGATCCTCCTGCCTCCACTCCCTGGGTGGAGAGAAAGAATTATAGGCATACTCTATTGTTCTAGTTTCTATTACTTCCTATTTGCATTGCTTTCTACTATTGTGGTAAACACCGTGGACAAGTGCAGCCCCGGAGAAAAGGGCTGATTTGGCTCACACTCCACATCAGTGTATCACAGAGGGAAGTCAAGGCAGAACTACAGCAGAGATCAAAGAAGTATGCTGCTTACTGCCTTATTCTCTGGGGTTTGTTCAGCCGGCTTTCTTCCTTTCTTCCTTTCTTCCTTCCTTCCTTTCTTTCTTTCTTTCTTTCTTTCTCTCTCTCTCTCTCTCTCTCTCTCTCTCTTTTAACAGTTTTAAAAATATTTAATGATAAATACATATTAGTAGAAATGGTTAAATTCTTGAATGAAGGGACATCTGAGGGCTCTCTCCATCATGGCTCCCAGCCCTTCCCTCCAGGCTGACGGGGCAACTGGAGGCCCACCAAACCAGCAGACTTCTCCACTGAACGCTCACCCTTGCCATGAAATTCCTGATGAAGAGCTGATGCTACGCAAGAGGCAGAGATAGGTGGCCGCTTGGAAGTGAAGCTCATGTTGGGCTTGGTACAACTTCTCACTGGTGACCCGATGTGCTCGGAAAGTCTTCACCAGGTACCGTGTCGCGATACCAGAGGCCACATTCAGATAGCGCAGTTCCGCAGAAGGCCTCTCAGAGTGCGCGCCGGGACCCCAGGGCCGCCATTCTCCTGTCCTTGTCCTCAGCCGGCTTTCTTACACAGCCGAAGACCTGGGTTACCACCCCACAGTGGGGTGGACCCTCCATCAATAAAATGCCCCACAGGCTTGCCTATAGGCAAGCTGATGGAGGCATTTTCTCAACAAAGTTCCCTTTTCCCAGATGCCCCTAGCTTGGTGTCAGGTGGGAGGTGGGGACCAATTTTAACCTGTACAGTCAAACACTAGGGCCTTTGTTTATGCAGGGCTAGGGATGAACAAGGGCTCTGTGCAAGCTAGACAAACCTTCTTCCTGGCCCAGGGGTTTGTGTGTTAAAGATCCTCCTAAGAGGCACATAGTCAACCCCATTCCCCTCTGCTACACAGGCCCCCACTTCAGCCCCTCCTAAATAACCCACCCTCAACTTATACCCCACCCCATCCATACCACAAATGCACACCTTTCCCGGGGAGCTCCCTGAGTCTTCTCAGACTGTTCAGCAGCTCCATGTCTGTGTCAGTCACTTCTGCGTGTCCTCGGGAGGCACGTGGCTTTTGTTGTGGACGTTTCAGACTTTCTGTTGTCACGCCCTCCATGGCCCTCCCAGCCCTTGAAACACCAAAAGCCCCCAGTTCCTTTTTTGAGCATCTAGCCAGGAGGCTGGGACAGAAGTGTCATCACAGCCTTCCAGGCACGTGTCTCCTTTATGTAGAGTGAGAACGCAGGGACTTTCCGAGGCCACACAGTCAGGAAGGTGGACAGGTCTTACCTGCCAGTGCCGGGCCTCCCAGGGTCGCAGGCGCTGCCCTTCTGCGCTTGCGTGCTCGCTAGGTGCCCAGGGTCCTTTCTAGTTATTCCCGCACTCCGCACACCACGGCTGCGTCTAGGAGAGATTGCAAAGTCCAAACAACGGGCAGTCCCACAAGAGCAGTTCCGTTATATACGGTCACAGGGACTCCTGATATGTCCAATAAATACCTGTGTGTTAACAGCAAAACAAAGCAAAGCAAAAACCAACCTAGAAGATTTTTTACTGGTTTCTACACGTTGCTATTGCATTAGAAACAGGGAATAGATCAGGCAATAAAACAAAAATCCATGCTCCCAGAAACAACCTTTTGCGATCTGAGACAAACAGTACAGAAATTAGGGTATACAAAATAATATTTTAGTTTACATGACGTGTGGGTGTATGTGAGGGCCTGCAGAGGCCGGAAGAGGGTGTCCCATACCCTGGGTCCAGAGTTGAGACATTTGTGGGCTATCTCCCAATCACTCAGACCATCAGAACATCTTAAGAGCTATTTACAAGTGTTTACAAGAGTTAGCCCAGGCTAGTGTGAGGGTGGAGGAGGCTGCAAGGTAAAAATACAAACAACATGGGTCTCATGGGGCCGACGTCATTTGACAAAGACTCACAGGAGGACCCATGGACGACTTCTGAGGGTGTGGTGTGGGGGAGGAGTGATCAGGAAGTGTGAGCTGTGGGGTGAAGCAGCCTTGGAGACCGAGGAGGGGCTGAGAAGGCAGGCAGGATGCAGGGAAAGGGCCCTGCGGAAATTGGGAAGGCTGGTGGGTCTGGGGAGATTGTAGTGGTCCTTACAGCAACTTCATCCATTTTTCTATCCCCGAACACCCCCTGGTGGAAGTAAGTGGCCATGAACAAGCAGAAAAGGAGTCTGTATACACCCGGCCAGGATGAAGTCGAACTAATTAATCCTACAGGTTTCTGCTTTCTTTCCCACATCACCTTTTGAGCGGCAGGTTAGGGTTTTGTTTGTAATCTCCCGTAGCAGTGGGATGTTGTAAATGTGGGTTGGGCATCCACTAACACTAGGGGAGAGAAGGGTACCACCGTTTCACTACTTATATTTTCTTTTATGTATCTATTTTTATTACATAAAAATAATTTATTTATTTTATTTTGTGTCCATTGGTGTTTTGCCTACATGTATGTTTTGTGAGGGTGCCAGATGCCCTGGAACATGAGTTACAGACAGTCGTGAGTTGAACATTGTGGGTGCTGAGGTTTGAACCCATGTCCTCTTGAAGAGCATCCAGTGCTCTTAACCCCTGAACTTTCTATCTCTCCAACCTCTTTCCTTACATTTTTAAAAGTAAAGTCATCTAACCAATAATTTTCTAAAATATTTTTCTCCTGTTTCCTCCCATCTCTCCCTTTCTTTCCTTCTCTCTCTCTCTCTCTCTTCCTTTAAACTTGTAACTCTCCAGCTTGAGCCTCACCACCACCCCTGACTAGAGCATTGGTTTATATTGCTCACTGAAATATATCTCAAACAACACTTCTTCAAAATCCAGGATGTTTCCATGGAATACTTCAACAGAAGATTCCAGGCCCGGGTGAAGCCTGGTCCAATACCACTGTTGTTGGTATGCAGTATGTACAGAATTCCACACGGAATAATCTCTGCTAAGCAGATGCCGTTGAAATTAGTGTGAATGTATTTCCTTCCTTTCTTCCTTCCTTCTTTCCTTCCTTCCTTCCTTTCTTCCTTTTTTTTCTTTCTTTTTGGTGGTGTGGGGGAAGTTGGTTCAAGACAGGGTTCCTCTGTGTAGCCCTGACTGTCCTGGAACTCACTCTGTGGACCAGGCTGGCCTCGAACTCAGAGATCTTCCTGCCTCTGCCTCCAGAGTGCTGGGATCAAAGGTGTGTGCCAACCATGCATGGCTTTCTTGAGTGTATCTCTATGACAGAATAAGGAGCACCACCCAGGGTTGCAGTCTGGCCAGGTGGTTCCAGGTCCCTGGCCTCTTATTCAAGAAGTTGAAATTAAAGCTCACACATGTGTAGGAAGCAGTGCAACAGGGAAGACGAGAACACACGGAAAGTGAGCAGTGGAACCGTGAATGCAGATGCTCACGGGCTCCAATTATTACGTGTGCCTTTCTTTCATAGGGTGCAGAGAAGGGCTGTAGTGAGTGTGGTTTTCTGTTTTGATTGGCAGATTAGATCAAGTAAATTGTTTTTTGAGCATGTCTCTTCCCATAATTCCTCTTATTTTGATCCTTTGCCTGCCCAATTATGCATAGGCATAAGATGGTAAACAGGAATCCTCTCTCAAAGTTTTCTTGAAGACACAGTTTTTACCTTATTTCTCGAGAACCCCAAACCTGATCAGGCCAAATCAGCCTTTCTATTCTTCATGCCTGGCCACATTGGGAATATATTGGAATAGAAATTGTATAAACTTGATTCTTGTTAGTGGTGGAGAAAATGATGCCATTATTCAGAGAGGAGTGTATGATATAGTCCATTGTAGATGGGGGGTGGGGGGGGGGGCAAGGTTGCTAGGTGAATTATTCCAAGAGGTACAGTTATAGTAAAGATAGGAAAAGGAACCCGTCTGCTCAGTACATTATTAGATTTGGTGTGGGGGTTACATGACCCAAACCAAGTGGGGCCCCATGTTGCTAATCTATTCCCTATGCTTGCCAGCCTCAGGGGTGCTTTTATTTTAAAACTGTGTGCTCAGGAGTCGGAGAAATGGCTTAGTGGCTCAGAGCATTGGCTACTCTTCTACTAGAGAACCTAGATTCTATTCCCAGATCCCTGTGGCAGTTCAGAACCATCTGTAACTTTAATTTCAAGGGATCTGATACCCTCTCCTGTCCTCCGTGGGCACCAGGCAAGCCCAGGGTGTACTTAAATGTATGCAGGCAAAACACAAATACACATAAATTTAAAAATGAATAAATTTTAAAAAGTAAGTTTGCTTATACTTATGTATGACTTGTCTATTTATTCAACATCCCCTGCCAGTATCATTCTCTAGAATTGTGCACCCTGCACTTGAGGTTATGAGATGTAGACGGGGTGTAGCTTAGTGTGTAATAGGTCATGAATTTGATGGCTAACACTGAAGAAAGAGAGGTACCAAGGGCAAACCAGGGGAAATTCCATAGAAAGTAAAACACAGGAGCATATTTCTAAGACAATGTATACCCATATACTTCATATACACTCATCTGCAAGCACACATGGGCCTGTAGGAAATAGAAATGCCTTTTTCTTGCAAATTGCTCATACATTTAAAGTTCAAAGTTGATTGACACACGCTTTCACTTAATGAAGGTAATTACAAAGAATAACAAGTCCGAACAGCCCTGCTCAGTGTAACGATCTCATCCTGCCGCTGAGCCTTCACGGAGGGCTGTCAGAGCACAGTTTCACTGCTAAACACACACAAGTTCATTTGCCAGACGAGAAACAGATTAATAAGCGTCAACACTTGCGGGCACCGCGGGAACCGGGGCAACGGTGGGAGCTTTCTCTAGCTGCCCAAACACAACTCAGGCAGCCTCTCAGGAAGGACGGGAGTGCACCTCAGAGGCCCCAGCTGTGAGGAGGACATAAGACAGATCTGCTCGGGCTGCTGTTGACTAAAGTAATGGGCAGGTGTTCTGAAAACCTCTGTCCAGACCTCTGAGTAACAGACCAAAGAGGGTGGCTTCGTCCCCACAGTTAGTGCTGGTTGCTATGTTGCTAACTAACTAAAATCAAATCAAATCATGTGGCATTGGAATGACTGGGTACATGTTTAAATGACATTGACACTCACTTTGTTTGGGGACCACAGAGACATATGGGAAAGGTTTGTGATTACAGTTACAGGTGGGCTTAGTCCTAACTTCAAATAGCTGGATTATAAGAGGATCCCACTGTATTTAGTTTTACCCTGCGGAACATATTTGGCAAATGAACATTTTGTCTAAAATACCAAAAGGTAGATTTCCCACCGGACTTCATCCCACCACATATAAACAGTAGAAAAAATGAGAATGGATGGGCAGAGAGCATTGAAACAATCAAATTGTATATAACATGGGCTTTGTTGCTATACCGTAATTGTAGGGCTTTTTCTTCCAAAGCTGGCTGGATTTAGGGTCATGTTTTCTGTAGCAATAGGGGCATAGACTTCTAGTCAGTCAGTTATATGATCTCAGCCCTGTCATTAATGTAATGTGACCATGCTTGCTTTTGTGTGACACAAGGCATTAGGAGACACTGCTGACATGTCAGATAATGGCAAAATAAATAAATAGTAGGAGCTGAAGACCAAAGCTTTTCTGTGGCTTTCAGAAATATGCGCTCCGTGTTTAAAAACAAAGAGAAATGTTTCCATGCCGTGTTTGGGGGGGGGGGGCTTAAAAATTAACATTCTCCCACACAACCCATATTTCTGAAATCTTGTTTTCATGAGGGAGTAGGTTTTTGGGTCTCCCAATGCCACTCAGAAATATAAAATAAAATAAAAACTGCTGGCTTTGTGTGGAACAGCCTCAGGAAAAATTCGGAGGCTGGAGGGACCGTGAGTCATTTCAACATCAGGCAGCTGAGCCGACAAGAGTGTCTTTCAAAATTCTCTCAGTTTCCTTTTTATTGCATAGCTTTGGGGTTTTTTGCTTTGTTTTGTTGTTTTGTTTGTTTGTTTGTTTTTCCTGACTCTGCTCAGGACACAGCCTTGAAAACTCTCTGAGATGCTCTTTGCAAATGACAAACCAGTTGCTATGTTTGGAATCACACACTCAGAGTGCAGGAGCCAGAAGAAAGCTCAGAGGTTATAGTCACACACGCCTCTTTTTAATGTAAAGTGCACTGTAGGTCTGGGAAGATGGATCCCATAGGTAAAGCACTGGGTGTCTAAGTGTGAGGACCAGAGTTCAAATCCCCAGTACCCACACAAAGCCAGGTGTAATCCTATTGTAGGGAGAGGCCAAGACAGAATAATAATAATAAGCATGTTCTTGGGCTAGCTAGACTGAGGTACTCAGTGGTGAACCCCAGAAAAGAGACTTTCTCTCAAGCTGGGTGGAAGGTGAAGGCTGACACCTAAAGTTATGCTTTGACCTCACATTTGCACTCTGGCATTTGTGTGTCCTGTACACACACACACACACACACACACACACACACACACAGTACATCTCTCTCCCTCCCCCCATACACAGGCACACAAAGAAAATTTCAAGTATGTATTAAAAGGCTGGAGAGAAGGTTCTGTGGTTAAGAGCACTGGTTGCTATTCCAAAGGACCTGGGTTCCATTCCCAGCACCCACATGGTCTATGTCTTCAGTTCCAGGGGAATCTGACGCTCTCCTCTGGCCGTCACGGGCACTGCATGTCTGTGGTGTACAGACATAACTGCAGGCAACACCAGAACGCATAAAATACAAATAAATAAACATTTAAAAGCACCGTGTTGAACTGACACAGTAGAAACTTCATGGGAACTAGGTAGGGTTGTTTCTGGTTTGCTGTTTACCTGCATCTGTGAACCTCAGTTTGCTACCTACAAAACGGGTTAGCTATTGTACTTAGCCTGTAAGCCAAAACCATGACACATTTCACGTGGAGGAAAGCTTGAAGCACTGCTCACGGCCTTGCCTCAGTTTCTCCCTGAGCCAATCAATATTGCTACTAGGAAGGCAACAAAGAGGTTCTGAAACTGTTTCCAGAGAAGCCTAGCACCGCTGAAGCCCCATGCTTGCCAGCGTGGAAGGAGATCGGAGCGCCTGACTTCATGTGGGGATAGTGATGCGTGGCGGTGGTGGATGCAGATAGAATCACATTAAGCAGTTCACAGGACGGCTTACCCGCTGGGCACCTGCTTTATAAATAGAAAGCATGAACAACATTCCCGTACAAAGAAAACATTGGCTTTGCACCTCTGCCAGAGTTACATCGTCCGCTCCGACCCTGAAGAAGGAGATCGCTAAGCTAATACCCCGAAACACAACACTTAGCGGGCAGCGGAGCCAGTTGCTCCTGTGTCGTCTCAGCTTCTAAGCAAATCATTTACTGAAATTCCACAGGCAAGGAGTTGCTTTGAAGGCCTCCTGGGAGCCGGGTAGGACTGAGAATGAAAAGGCACAGCTGCGACGCGACAGCTGGGAGACGGTTGCCACCGGTCCGCTCCCCGCACGGCACCCCGACTTATGCAGTTGTATCCAGCCGGGTCCAGCCAGCCTCACTCCACTGCCAGTTTGGACTCCTCCTTGAAATGGTGTCCTGAGAAGCAAGTAAGGTCTCATTGCTTGCAGAATTTACTTTATTAAATCTATTTAAGTGGTGGGAGGGGAAATTTTAGGGAAGGATGCCATATTAGCAAACCTCCCCTAAACCCTCATCGCATATAAACCCTCTGCTCTTTCACTGGGCATTTGGATGATGTCTGAGGCTACTGTTTGCTACTTACTTTCGGGGAGTTGAACTTGACCAAAGTGGGGAAATTCGTGTATTTTCCATTTTTTTAATGGCTCATGGGAAACACATAGGATCTGTTCTGAAGCTCATTGCTGACAACATCAGACCATACTTACATCATACAGCTGGCAAAGGAATGAGCCGACTCTGAGGCTGCCATAGAGACGGCTCTGATACAAGACTCGCAGGAGCACAAGCAGCAAGATGACAGCGGCCAAGTTCATGGCGTCAGCTGTGTGCCACGCTGAAAATCCAGGAGAAAAAGAACCAGTCAGCAGACCCTTAACACCACCCTGTGGAACACTGCCATTTCAAGTCCCTCTGATTACCGTGATTACTTCTATGTACAGATGACATTTTGTAGTATATTTTAGACCGTAAGTTCAAGTGCCTACAATTATATGCTTTGAGCTCGGGCTTAGAAATGTTGAAGTCGCTGGTGAGTAATCTTACCCGACTAATTCACACGTCAATGAGCTACCCACGCTCTACTCTTTACCAAGTGAAGAAATAGGCACCGAAGGCTTGCAGGCTCCGGGACCCCACTGGGAAGGGATGGATGCAGCCGGCAGCTCTGTGCCTCTCATCCGGTGCCCCCTTCCAGCCTAGCACTTGAGCCCGCTTGTACCACTGAGGCCAGATGACAGCGGCAGCTCTACTTACAGACTCATCTCCCTGTGGAATGACACTTTCCAGAATTGTAGGGTATTGCCAACCATTTAACATTCTGCTTGGGAAACTGAGATGAGGACTGTGTAGCTGGAGTGGTCTCTCTGTCTCTGTCCTTCTCCCGCTGTGTGATAGCGTAGGCTTGCGTATGTGTGTTTGTGTGTGTGTAATAGTGCAGGCTCATGCTTGTGTGTGTGTGTGTGTGTAATATTGAAGGCTCACACATGCATGTACACATGGAGGTCAGAGGCCAATACAGGGTGTCTTTATTTATCATACTTCTTGGGTTTTTTTTACATTTAAAAAATGTTTAACTATGTGTGTATGTCTCTATGTGTGTGTGTGTGTGCATATGAATGTGGGTGCCCAGGAAGTCCAGAGGCATCAGATCCCCCTAGAACTGAGGTTGCAGGCACTTATGAGCAGCCCTACATGGGTGCTAAGAGCTGAACTTGTTCCAAAGATGAGCAGAATATGCTCTGAACCAGTGAGCCGTCTCTGCAGTTCTACAGTGTTTCTTACTAAATCTGGAGCTCACTGATTGGCTAGACTCACTGGCCATGGAACTCCCACGGGGCATCTTCTGGTCCCCCTTTGGGCTTGCTGCCACATTTACATGGCATTCACGTGGATGCTAGGGATCCACACTCAGGCCTTCATCTTGCCCACTGCACCATCTCTGCAGCCCTGTTCGGGAAATGATGGCTCCAAGAAACACCGTAAACACGTAGAGATATGGTCAAAAGAAAACCTGTACACATTTCGACAAAATCCTCACTTTCAAGGTGGTGGAAGACCAGTACTTGATTTATATACATTTTGCACAAGTGGGCAGGAGTGACCACACACCCGCCATGTTCTGAGCGGTTATGGGAAGAGAAGGAAAATCTGCAAAGGGTCTCGATCTGTTCTCCTGCATTTTGATGGCTGGGGAAACTAGCCCTTGCTTTTTAAGCAAGCATAGGAATGATGGACTCAAGACACCTTCTGACCTTATCTTGCACCTTCATTTTTAGCTATATCAGTGGTCCTAGGGTGCATTTTTTGCTTGCTTTGTTTTCTTTTTCAAGAAAGGACTTCTCTGTATGGCCTTGGCTATGCTGGAACTAGTTCTGTAGACCAGGCTGGTCTCAGACTCAGCAATCTGCCTGCCTCTGACTCCTGAGTGCTGGGACTAAATGCATATGACATCACTTCTGGATGCCGGAGAGGATTTTAAACTAGTAACTTAAAACATTACATTATGCTGTACTTCATCAAATCTAAGATGTCATGGCTGGAAACCTCAGAATTTGTGTATCACCAAGAAAGACTCGGGTGTGACACAGACCTATGATGATGCAAGAGCCTGGGCTCCACGGGGAGGCTACGTCTGTGAACTCAGGAGACTGTCCGTTTTTCCTGAAGAGTGAAGACAGGACCCATGCACCCAACTATTTCTCATTATTCTGAGCTCCTACACCTGTTGAGTGCATGGACCTGTCTGACTTTTCAATTCTGCAAAGGCAGAGTCTCTCGATTTCTCACCCGTCTAGGAAGACAGCTTTCCAACTGGCTTCAGGCCTTCACTTTGAGTGCCTCTGAGTAAGACCTAGTCATCTGAGTGATTTATAATGGGCTTCCACTTCTAGTCTGAATCCTTTTCCTTCCCCATAGTCATCCCTTACCCATCCAACCAAGATAAGAGGTCCCCAAAAGTGAAGGGGGGGAGGGTCTTCAAAACCAGGGAATGATTAGAGCACCCTATCCCAAAGAGTCAATTTTGTGCAATCCAAGCACTTTATGATGTGTGTTGTTTTACTAAACAACCATTATGAAGTAGGATGATCACTGGCGTTCATTTTTACACCACAACTGTTCAAAGAAATTGCATGGTTTATCTGGGCACAGTGTACTCCCTGCACTCAGAGGCTGGCGCAGGTCTTCTATGCCAGTGTGGGGGATGTACTAAGGTCTTGCTTTGGACAGCCAAGGGTTAGGAGTGAGCTTGGTAGTTGAGCGCTTTGCCTACTACACACAAGTCTAGGAGCTCAAAGATCACCTTTGTATCTCCACGTTCTTTTAAAAAGATTTTGTTTGTTTATGCATACCTGAAAAAGTTCATGTGTACAACATGCATAGTGGTGCTCACGGAGGCCAGAAGAGAGCATCAGGTCCCCAGGAACTGGAGTTATAGATGGTTGTGAACCACCTGGCATGGGTGCTGGGAACCACACTTGGGTCCTCAGCGAGAAAAGTGAGTACTCTCAACTGTTGGACCATGTCTCCAACCTTTATTCTTCTTTAAAAAAAAAAAGTTTATTTACGATTGTGGGATAATTTGATCACACTCTGATACTCCTGAGACTGACAATAAAGTTTACTTTGAGTCAGAGGGTGTAACTGGCTACTAGCTGATCAAAATTAACAACAGAGGTTTTGGAGGACCAAGAACATATATAGAGAGACACAGGAAGTAGTAGGGAGGGTCTTAGAAGGATTCTCGGCCCTTTTGGATCAAGGAAGGAGAGAGAGAGGAGGTCACTGGTCACTTTTCCACCTTCTCTGATCATTCAGGTTCTTACCCCAGTATCTGACTCCTGAGTTTTCATTAATAAAGAATAATTAGATAAATACTTCATTTGGTATCCAACACAACACACAAGATCACAAGGCAGCCACTTGCCACCAACTTTGCAGTCTCTGGAGTCACCACCGTAACTGGCTTTCCCTCCCTCCCTGCAGGTCATCCCTGCAAGTCTGGGGTTTTCCCCTTTCAGCCTCTCTATAGCAGCCTCTAGCTGCACCCATCCCCAGCCCCAGTGCTACAGATGGCTGGTTTCCAAGTGCTCCCCACTCCCAAGTTAGCCAGGCCTGTCATTCAGGTGGCTCTGTACCCTCACTTCTCCCCATGCAGGCTTCTTCTGCAAATTCTGTGTCAACTTTTCAGGTAGCTAGCTTCCTCTCCCTATGGGTGGTGGGCTTTCCCTGGACCCATTCCTCAGGCCACTGCCACACCAGGTCAGCTGCCTTGACACTGCTTGGACTTTTACTATTGCTGTCACTACCACACAGTCTCAGTCCCCAGATACACAGCCTGACTGTATACCACCCATGTTCTCTGCCCAGCTATACAGTCTCCATATGGAGTTTTCTTGCCACATGGCAAAGTTTGTCATTTGGGCAAAAAACTGCCCTTGCCTCAACGTGCCGGAGCTGCATTTTGTTTATAGCTATCTTAAAGTTCACGAGTAAAATATTCACCTTTGCAGGCAAGTTGTGGACCTAGGACATTAGCCTAGTGAGACCTGCACACACCAGGCTTTTAGAAAATATTAGCATTTTCCTTTGTTAGTCAACAAGCACAGACCCTCAGTATTTACCTGTCAACTAGGGATGTCTCGATGCCTGAATTCCAGCAGACCTGACACCCCTTCCCTCCCTCCTTGTCCATTTGCTATATAACAGCCTCTGAGAATATAATAAACTTGGCGGTTTGATCAGAAATACTGTCTTGCCGTCATTCTTTGTGTCTCTTGTCCCTCCATTCCTCTCCCCTAGGTTTATCAGGGACCACCATTTGTATCCTGCTGGCCAAGATATCAACAGTATACTGTCCAAATTGGATGCACAGAACACAAAAGAAGGCTACTGCCAAACTTTGCCAAGATTAGAATAGTCCTTCAAAATCCCTACTGCACAAAAAGGTCTGTCAGATATTCTAGGCCAAAGATGGATGTCCCAACATTGCAGAGGAACCTTGGGTGAGTGTCCAGGCATCCAGCGGTTTATGTCATTATTATAGTTTTGGAAGTTGTTTGGTCTGTACTTCCTGTTTACTGAGGTAATATTATATTCTTCTCAGGTCTCTGATGGAGTTGAAGATGAGATAGTTAGAGTTACAGTTTTCCTTGTCACCAAATTCAGAAAAGAAACTCACAAAAGAGGTATAACGTGCGTAAGGTTAAAAGACAAAAACTTAAATTGTTTATCTAAGAAAATGTTTTGAGGTCTAAAAAGATAGTTTTGGGTTAGTAATACAAGTTAGAAAGTGATTAGATACAAAACTTTGAATTCATCAAGATAGGATAAATAATGGAGTATTTTCTCTGAATTTACCAAATGCAAATGTACTGAACATTGTGAATGTAATTCTTACCTGATAATTGTTCTTATTGTATAGTCTCACTGTGTTAGAATTAAAACCTTCCCTATTTATTTAGACAAAATGGTGCTTTATCTGGCATCCCATGTGGTGCCAGATGAAGTGTTTATCTAATTATTCTTTATTAATAGAAACTCGGGAGTCAGATATTGGGGTAAGAACCTGAATGATTAGAGAAGCAACAGAGAAGCAACTAGTGACCTCCTCTTTCTCTTCTTCCTTGACCTAAAAGGGCTGAGAATCTTTCTAAGTCCCTCCCTACTACTTCCTGTATCTTTTATATGTCCTTGATCCTCCAAACCCTCTATGGCTAATTTTGATTAGCTAGTAGCTAGCTCCATTGTCTGATCCAAAGTAGACTTTATTGTCAGTCTCAGGAGTATCAGAGTGTGCTCAAACTAACAATCCCACATTTTACTACTGATATATTGGGGTGGGGGAGTCTTTTATTGTCTTTCCAAAACCTTTGTCATGTATGGTGCAGTTTTATGACTTCCTTCTGTGGAAGCAGGACAGACGCTAAAAGTACCGAAGGGACTTGCTCAAGGATACTTAGCTGGTATGTGGGAGAGTCTGAGGCGCTCTCCTTCCACAGTGCTGCTTCTAATAATAGGTTTACAGATTCTCTCCAAACAAATTGTCAGCTTGTAGAAATGCAGCGATTTCCTAAACATGGATGAGTTAGTTCAAAAGCTAGTCCTGTTTTATTAATACCTCTGGTAGTCCATCTATCTATACACAAATTCTACATCTTATACAGTCTCCCCAAAATGA